TCCTGATTTAGCACACGCGCAAATTCAAATGCGTGGAAGCACTAGTGCCTTATATATGGCGCCACAAAAGAGGGACAACGTTTCCATGCACAAAATTGTGATAATTTCCTAAAAAAGAACAAGCAATTAAAATTGTTAAAACACTGAACTTTAAAGCATTAAGGATTTCCATTTATTTATTTGTACATACTTTAGTGAGAATGAGAAATGTGAGTGTTGTGGCTCATGGGTATATCGTAAAGTACTTGGATATGAATATTTCAGAGAGAAAAAAAAAGAGAATTTCAAAAACAAGGACTGCATGTATCGTGAATTTTCATTATTAATTATTACAGGAGTCCTAAAACTTCCTGTTTAAATTCCCGGACTAATTGCTACTAATGGACTTTGGGGGTGGTGGGCTCTGACATCATCAATATTTTATATAAAAAACTTAATTGCTACCGAGGGAAAAAAATCAGCGTCTACTCCGGACTTCTCAGCTTTAAGATGAGAATAGTGGCTTGTAAACTTTTAGTTTTCTTGTGTATAATTGCATTAGTACAACACGGCAGTTTCTGCATCTCGGAAAACGTTCAGCAATACATTGGATCAGGCAAGTTGAAATCCAGTACTAAATAGCTGTATTTGTTTTAATCTGTCTGTTGAAAATTATTTTCTTCCCTGTAAGAGTGTTTAAAACGCTTTGCTTTTCCTTCTCAGAAATGCTTTGATTATTTCCTTTTATAAATTTCCCTGGAAAATGGGTACATCATGTTTCATATCCATTAAGGTTATTTTGGGTCCGATTTATTTTTAATTCTTCAACCTATGAAAGTAAACTACAAAAATTTCTGATAACGCCAGGGAAATCCTGGGCTTTTATCAATTCCTGGCTAAAAATCAGACGAAAAAAATACATTATCTGCATTTTATAGCTTTGCCTCCCTACTTCCCAAGGAAACCTATTCTGCACATTTTTTTTTTTAGGTCACCTGATCACTCAGATGACCTATTGCCAACTGTTTTCGTCCCTCGTCGTGCTTCCAACTTCTTCTTTTCAACTTATTCTCTCGAAGCAATGAGCCAATTTCAAGCAAATTTGGTATATATCATCTATGGTTAAAGGGGAGCAAAAATTTTAACTTCATGATCTCTGCCTCCATGGAGCCTGAGAGACAAGGCCAATACCATCAAAATTAGTGCTATCTTCAAAAATCTTTTTTTTTAATCTTGGACATCAAGAAGTCAAACTGTTATCATGATCATAATAAACAATGAAGGCTCTACCAAACTTGTGAAATTCATGGAATTCCGATCATGACAAAGAGCACAAACACACGGCGGGTGTGACCTGTCGACAGGGGATGCTTACTCCTCCATGGCATCTGATCCCACCTCTGATGTTTTTAGAGAGCCGTGTTTGCTCGATCGTTTTGTTTCAATGGACTTTTGAGCTTGATTACTCTTCATTATCTTTATATTTCATTCAAGGTTCAATCTCTAATTAAGGCGGGGCTAAGTTCATTACATGTATATCTCTTCTTTTTTACTCATGGACACCTGGCAGAAAAACTGCATGATTTTAATGAATACCCATCCTTCTATCGAAAATTGTAAAATTCATACTCTGTGGGTCCATAGTTCAGACCCTACTTTGGGCTTAGATGATCATATATTGAAAATACATGTACATTATCTTTGAAAATCTTCTTTTGTACTCACTGACACTTTTAAAGGTGCTTGGACACAGATTTGAAGTTAATATTTTCTCAGATTTTCTGTATAATTTCATGACTTATATGTTGCTATAGCATTTCAAACTAAAATATAATAATAATCTTATTTCATCTCGAAGTTTTTAAAACTTCGAATTTCTGGACGCGTTGGATTGACACATCCTTGCGCTTTCACATATTTTAATTTTATTCTTAATACTTAAGAAAAGTGGCAATTTTGTTGTGTATTAATGAAAAATATTAAAACTATAACCCAGAAAATTCCGAGTAGAAATGTTCGAAAGTAAAACCCACTCACAGTACTGTAAGTCCGTGCTCAGTGGTGTGTGCAGAGTTTAACAATTGAACACACCCGGTGAATCGTAAACATTAACAATAACAGAGCTCGTGCCCTGTTTACAAAAACAGTTTACGTTTCACGGGTGTGTTTAATTTGTTAAACTCTGTCCACATCACAGAGCACGGACTGACAATACTGGTGAGTTGGTTTTGCTTTCGAACATTTCTACTCTGAATTTTCTGGATTATAGATGTAATATTTTTCATTAACACATATCAAAATCGCTTCTTTTCTTAAATATTAAGGATAAAGTTAAAATTTGTGTAAGTGCAAAGATGTGTTAATCAAACGCGTCCCGGAATTCGTAGTTCCAATAATTTCCAGATAAAATAAAATTATATTTTCGTGTGAAATGCTATTGCAATATATAAATCGTGATGTTATACAGGAAATTTGAGAAAATATTAACTTCAAATTTGTGTCTAAGCACCTTTAAAACAGGCAAACTGTTTACATGGTTATAATGAACACTTTAGCTTTACCAAAATTGTAAAATTCATTGCACCTCGTCCATGGTTCAGGTCCCAGCTGGGTGGAGCTAAATTTGTCAAATATAGATAATTCATTACTTCTTTGAAAATCTTCTTCTTTTGTAAAGGCTGTCTGTTGAAATACAGAGTAATTGATGACAATTGGTAAAAAAATTTTTTTTTACAACAATCCATAAATTCGATTCTGTGCCTTAAGTCCAGTGTTCAGGCCCCAGGATATGGAGGGTAATCGTGTTCAAAAATCCAGACTTGTAAGTTTGTAACTCCATACCAGGATGGGGTTAAGTTGGTCATAGTGATACAATGAAATACGTGAACATAACGCCTTTGAAAATCTTCTTAGTCCATGAACATCTAGCAGATAAACTGTTTATGGTTACATGAACACTTAGTCCTACACTAAAATTGTCAAATTCATGCCCCACCCCTCTTGGACCAGCGGTCAGGAACCAGGGTGGGACGTAGTTCGTCATATATATTGAATATTACAACTTTGTAATTTTTTTCTGAATCTCCTTTACCCATGGACATATATCAGGAAAACTGTTTGCATGCCAGGGTAGGGCTAAGTCTGCCATATATTGAAATACATTTATTAAGGAAATGTTTTGCATGATAAAAAGGAGCTAGGCCTCTACAAAAATATATAACTGATGTCTCCGAATTAGAGGTCAAACCCCAGGTCTGGACTTATAGTTGGTCATATATTAAAATTTATATTCTTTACTTCTGAATTTCATTGAAACAACTTAAGTTGGATGAATATAATGATGATTACAGAGTCTTCTTCAAAATGAAAAACAAATTGTCGCATAAGTCCAGACCAGTTCCACGCTGGAAGCGCTGATAGCCTGAGAGACTCCATCCTCACAACGTCCGGGGTCTCAAGTCCACTCATGGTCGTGGGTACGTCCCACGAGTGGACTCAGGACTCCTGATCTTGTGAGGATGGAGAAACTCATTAGAAACATGAAGTCAAGGTCTTTTGTGATATATTGTGAGTAGAGTATTTGCCAAATTAACAATTTTTAGTATTGATGAAAACTACATTGTATATATCAACATCCCAGTAGCATGAACACATAAAATGTGGTGTATACTTCATCAAACAGAGGATTTTCTTGGCTTTGAACCCCCCCCCCCCCACCACTACCACCGAACACACAAGGTTAAAACGCACATCTTCACACACACACCCTCACACACACGCACACAAATTATATATTAATTTATGTATTTGATTGTTTTAGATGTGAAGAGAGACAATTTGGAGACTTTGTTGCGAATACTAGACAAAGAACGGAAGAATAATCGTCCGTTGATTGACAGTTCAAGACGGAACAAATTTCACCATGTTCGATTTGGTATAGGAGGACGATAGGACTTAGAAATATATGTATAGACCTGCAAATCAACAGTACATTATATACTGCATTAGGTCAATGAGTATCTTCCAAAAAGTTTTCTTTCATAAACCTGATACATAAATCTCACAAAAATTACAGGATAGCGTAATACACGTGCACGTCAATATGATTGTGCAATTTGCACACATGTTGATTATTTTAGTCATTCCTGGGCATAATTTATCAAATGTGTAAATTCTAATGAATAAATGAAATATCCAAAATGCATATTCTCTGTGATGATTATTTTATTGCTGGTAGCATATTCATATTGTGTAAAGCAGGGGCGTATCTGGTGGGGGGGGGGGGGGGGGGTCCGGACCCCCGTACCTGGAATTTTCAAAGTTATTAAAAAAGGACCGAAAAACTGACTTTGGAACCCTGCTCCCTAGGTAACACGGACCACTCTTAAAACGGTATAGAGAGTACCTATTTGAAGAAAATTGACATAGGAAAGTGTGTTCTCTTACCCCCCTCCCCCCCCCCCAAGAACGTTTTTCAGGTTCATTTTTTTGTTGTTGACAAGTCGACTACATTATCAGACAAATTCGACAACGTACATTACTTGACAGGTCGAAATAACATGTTACAAGTCGACATAATTATTGTAAAGTGTCACGGTGACTTGTCAGATAATGATGTTGACTTAATCAAATGATTATTTCGATTTTGTAAAGGATTTTAAATGTCGACTTGTCAGATTCAATTGACGACTTGTCAGATAAATAATTTTGTTGTCTATTGGATTGCACAACCTTGGCATGTACCGGTACATGTTTTCATGGTGAATTTTTAAACACCTCTGCCTCGTCGTCTATGAGATTGTTCAACCTGATATATTCCTGTAGACAGTCAGTAAATAAGTAATAATGTACGTCCCTTTGCTTCCTCATTTCGTGGAGTTGTTGATAAATATATAGCTCTTGGTTCCATGCTTTCACTTTGCATGCCGTGATGTAGATAGCTACTTTAACAATACTGAGAAGACATTCTAAAATTGACTCAATGCAACCAGAGTACTAGGTTTATAAATACTTGTATTGATAACACCATTATGGGTATTTTATTGTTATGCTACTGATAGTAAAATATAAATATTTCCATCTTATTCTTGAATGGCAATGCTAGTTACAATATGATCTTCGTCAGCACTCAATAAATATATGTTCTGCTTATAAAAAAAAATTAACAAAACTAACTTATTTGAAGTAAACCTGATCAGTTGTTCGATTTGGCGTTTTCATCCTATGTACTGTCTGTTAAAGGAACACTTCTAAAGTTGAACCCAATTTTTGATATTGATGACGATACTGGCTTATTTTGTATACACAGTTCATATAATGTATAAATTAAAATAAAATATATAAATATAGATATAGCGGTTAACTAACATATCAGTAAAGTGAATACATTTATATATTACTATGGTAATACTATGATGTTCCTATACATTTGAAAAACAACAAATACTATATAAAAATGAATTTTCGTTAATTCTTGTGAGTCCTGAGTCAAATTCCTGATACCTGAATAAGATAATAAAATAGATAAATAAATACTATAACAGTACTAATAACAAATTTATCGATAGTGTGGACGTTCAGTAGGCCAGGTGATACAAGTCACACCTAACTGTCAAACAATGACGTATGCTTTGCAGATCAATTTGATATTGGAGTTTCTATTTTTCATGAACTTTTATCAGTGTTGGTTAAGTTAGGCTTACATCATTGTTTGTCACACACTGGCTTTTCTGGACCGAGTCTTTCCAGTTTGTTTTTTCACCCGACTGGAAAGCGGCTGCTGTGCCGATTTCTGCTTAGAGGTTGAGGGGTCAGGAATCTTCTTTGGTAAAGTACGCCCAATCTGAGCGTAAATCGGATCATGATCAAATATTTTGAGAGCATCTATGGAACTGTCCACCTTCTCCCAGTCTATCGCAGACATTTTATCCAATGGTAACAATTCTGATCCTATGAAAAAGTCTATTATTTTGCCCCCTTCCCTTCTTAGCGGCTGATACTTATAAATGACATGGGGACTCTGTACGAGCTTCACGGCTTCTTCAAGAGAAATATTAAAATCGCCGGCAATAATGAACGGTAGGTCCTTGTTATTGCTGAATGTTTCGATGAAAATTAGCAAATTTTTTAGCTCCATGATCAGTTCTGTCATTTTTCCCTTTCGTCGACCATGCCAAGAAACGCAAAGGAATTTCATATCTGGGACACCTTTGGTTTGAATGATTCGAATGCACATTCTTGATAACGGAGTAAAACCTATAGGAAGCTGTACTTTGCGAATCATTTCATCAAGCAGGCTCTGTAATTCTTTCTGGCCAGGAAACTCCACAATGAATTCATTTTTATCGAACAAAATGCTAGCCTCGTTATTCCCGGTGTATTCGTACTTCTCAGGAATAGTTACATTCCTCCAAGCTGAGCCAGTTATTCCGCTCCAGGAAAACTCCTGGAGAAGCACAATATTAGGTTGAAATTCTTTCAGAAATTCAGCTATACCTTTCTTCCGTTTATCTGCTGTTCCAGGCCCTACACTGGGACCACCGACGTTGGCAATAACGAGGGAAATGATTGGCTGAACAGCGGAATCCACTTCCTCACCTAAGCCATCATCCACATCCTCACTTAAGCCATCATCATTGTAGTCAGACGTATGTTTTGGTAGCAAAGACGTCGCCATTTTCTAAATCAACTGAACTGCAAATTATTCAATGATATTTGAATTAAAAACGCGTAATTGAGAATAAGTAAATTTTACGTATCTGTGCACTAATAATGTACAGACTTAATTATACAAAATTATAGAAACAAATTCCAGTGTAAGTAGTATAGGCGTACGTATGTACTCCCTTTAACAATGGGGGTCTGTTGTGCTGGAAAACAATGGAGAGAACAATAAGGAAAATAATGCAGTGAGAGAACAATAGGGAAGATAATGCAGTGACCTGACCGAGTTATGGTTACTATGAATGAACACGGGTATTTAAATGACAAGATGGTTAAGTGGAGTGCAGGAGCACTTATAGTATAAGTGAACACGGGTATTCAAAGTAGGGGAGCAAGATAATTATGAATTTCTTTACGTTTTTTGAGAGTTCCGTATTACGGAAATGTCCGAAATATTCATATTAATTATTGCATGCACTACTGATTTGGCGCATAGTATAAATAGTGTTCCAGGCGTGTGTTTGGTCATTGCGAAGTTCGTTACAAGATTATAAGGACATAAGCCCATCCCCGCCCTAAGAACTATGCAACACATATTATGTACATTTATGAAAAATTATGTATATATATTTTTTTTGCTTGTAAATTAATATAGTGTTATCAATTACACCGTTGATAAAATAATTATATAAATGCGATCCTGTAACAAATGCGATCTTGTAACGAAGGCACCTAACCTAACATATTTGTTGCTGTTATTCAAATTAGTCAAGGAAAGATTTATTTTCGGAGGAGTGTCACATTAAAATTGTATCATATTTTTGTTAATGCATTTTAACTTTCATGTAAATATCCCGTGGGGAACCTTCCCCCTTTTTTTTTATCTTAGTATCATTGGAAATATCCTTCACTGAACCTCAATTAACTGGACCTTAAAGCTGAACACGCTTCGTAAAAAGAATCTGTCCGCCATATTCGGTTGGACTTGCGCTATATCTGAGGACCCCTATATATAGAGCCGCTCACTTGGTCACTGTTCAGTGCAATCAATTGTCACCGGTGTAGACGGACGTATGCTATACAGCACTTGGTAGCGCAAAAATAACTGTGCTTCTTATGCAGGAGAGTAAGATACCAAAAAGATTTACAACAGTTGCACAGGTCAGTGCAGTATACAAACAAACAAAAATACACGTCAGTAACTGCAATAAAATGTAAACAGAGATAATGCAAGATAACCAGCACGAACACGGGTCGCCATTCCACGCCGATACCCGTGACAATAAAGCAGTCAGGTGTAACGAATGCGAAGAGTATACCCTAGTGCTGATATCTCAGATAGTAATATCGAAAATGGCGTATGCCTATTTACGAGTCGTGTTCAGCTTTAAAGCCAGCCAGCGCGAGCACGTTAGTTTGGACACGGGCAGTTCAGAGAGGAGGACGCGTTTAACCCTCTCAAATATGTTTTGTATCCAGCATTAATAGTTACGTGTATCGAGTATTACTTGCAGGGTTTGTTCTGGTATTCCATTTTTAAACAATATAATGGTCCAGCTTTTCTAAGGTAAGGATTATATTTATAACTTTATTTTAGTTATTTTCCAAATATCATTCATTTGTCCTAAAACACCCAGTCATCGCATTTCTCATCAATTTTTAGCATGTATGTTTCGTTTAATTTGATTTCTATGTATAGTAACACGTATTTGAATATTTCAAAGTACGGTACGTAATTTCCGTCATAATAGTTTGTCCGTAAAGTAGCAATTCGCAATACTGCATTTGTGTACGAGTTGTATGTATAATTTAAACAACTCGTGTGTGTAATTGAGTCTTATCTAAGACGTGTCATTATCTATAAATCTGATAATGAGTGTGGTGTGTATTTGTGTATAAGCCACTTGAGCTTGTAAGTAAAACTTGTATGTATATGTTGGAGCAGGTTCCATCCATACTTCAGAGTTTTTGGTACAATAGTGAGGCCACCCAATGCCTTTATTCTGCCCCAGGGTGTCGTAGATATACAGTCATGTAGGCCTTGGACCTAGAGTCCATCCTCCAGCCTGTGAGGTGGAAAAGCAAGAGGCGAGACTGGACAATAGGACAAACAACAACAATGTCATTTGTATATTATCATGATTCATCAAATATGTAAGTTGTATTTTAATTGACAAATCCGCTCGACTATCTCTGACGAGGGAAAAATTAAAGGACAAGAAGGACTCTAGACTTAGAAAAAAAAGGAATGCTGAGATTGTTCGTGCGCGCCTTACGGATCCCTTTTCGTTGATTTAAAGCAAACCACGCCAGAATCCAAGCAATTACAAACCAATATCTTCCGGAAAATCTCGCATCCTGCCGATATCAGCGAAGTCATAAACAAAGTGAGAACAAAATTTTTCATCCCTTTTGCCTAGATTGCGGTCTCGTGTTTGCTACGTCTTACGACTTGGATCGTCACAGCGCAAAAGGCTGCAACTGTGACGAAGATTCAGAGGAAGATGCGGGCTCAGGTGATCAAACATATGATGAGAACGATACAGTCGGTTTTGATATGATGATCAACGCCGTCTGGAACCAACATAAACCTCTATTCCAAGACCAAGTTACCTAATTAGTTCAAGAAGGGTTTCCAACGGAAGAAGCCAGAGAAACGACCATGAAACGGATGCTGGAAAAAGACAGAGATTTACTGTTGAAAAATTATAAAGAACAAATAAAACCGTCCGCCTGCCTCATGAAAAGTGCATTGCATAGGAGTATTCATCAGGAAATTCTCTTTCTTATCAATGAAAAAGACGTACCTCTTGAAGATGCAATATCGTGCATTCTCGACAAACACCATGTGAAGTTTAATAACCTCTTTCAAGAAAATAAAGAAAATAACAAATTTCATGTAATGAAATTGTTGTAAATTTTCTGTATTGTTTAACACGGAAATTAAATCCGAAAATAAAATCACGAGAAAACCATATAGTTTTGCTCTTGTGATTACTTCTTCCACTACTACCACCGCACAAAGTGGTGGTGTTAGTTTTAGAAAATATGAGCTCTGTCTGTGTTTTGTAAACCAGCACAGTATGCGTTTGTTTGTTTGTTGTTTAACGTCCCTCTCGAGAATTAATCACTTATTGAAGACGCCACCACTTGCCGGTGGAGGGCTGCAAATTTTGACCTATACTCGGCACTCATGGCCATTGAGCAGTGAGGGATCTTTTTCGGTTTATCGGTTCTTCGGTTTATACGTATATATATTATCTCCACTCGGTAATTCGCAATAAATATAATACATGATTTTATGAAGCAAAACGGACTTTGGCTGACCACGAGTTGCTGCTAATCGGTCTTGTAGAGTAGGCTTTTTCCCAAAGCCAATTTCCCCTCAATAAAATATATTGGCTGTGCTTATGTATGGGAGGGGGCAACATATATTGTTACAAGTGTCTCTTCTTCAAAATGGCGATCATACAAAGTATGAAATAGGGACATAAGCCATAGGACATAAGCTTTGTCTTGAAAAAGCAGTGTACCTTGTATTGTTTTGTATTCTTGTTTTGGCTTTTTCAATTTTTTTTTCCTTTGAAGAACTCGATTTAAATACTCCCAAAATGGCATGTGGAACCTATCAATGACATGAATTTGAGAATTTTCTCACATATTCTTTGTAGAAAGGATAGATCCATATCCCCTCGGAGGAAAATCCTACTCTAGAGTTCAGCTTCCGGGGGGGGGGGGGGGCTGGCTGTTGGGGAAATCCTACTCTACAACCCCGGTATTACTCGAAAATAATCATGCGATTGGTCAGTATTACCTTTGGTATTGAGGGGTTCTGTGTTTAATGTGCAAAATAGTATGAATTTTTATTGAAATCAAACATCCAGTCGATAAGCAAGATAGTATTGATAGTAAATACCCGTGTTCATTCAGAGTAACCATAACTAGGTCTCCATTGTTTTCCAACACAATAGACCCCCATTGTTAAAGGGGGTACATACGTACGCCTACACTACTAGTGTAATGAAACGGTAGAAATAAAGTTAAATAAGTTTTGATCTTGTTTGAAAAAAAAAAATCTTCTTAACCTAGACAATGCCATTTAAGCCTAGAATGTTTTATTTTTGCACATTACAAAAATGTTAATTCCAACATGTGATACTCCCCCCCCCCCTTAGATATTTTCATATTTATTATATTTTCAACAGAGATATACTGTATTTTATCCGTGGACAAAAAAGAAATATTTGCATAGTTGTATGTTGCATGTTTCAATTACAATTTTCACACTGTGAAAATTGTAACCGACCGGAACTACTTGTTCTATTTTTGTCATGTTAATAAAATTAGTTTTTCTTTCTTCTTTCATATATTTAATGTTAAAATTGCCTAAATAAGGATATTTAAAGTAGAAAAATATTCATATATATATATATATATATATATATATATATATATATATATATATATATATATATATATATATATATATATATATACACGTTAAGAATACGTTAATCAACATTATAACGAATTTCCCCCCGTGCAATGTACAGCTTAATTCCTACTTTATTTGAACAAAAATTTTCTGCCAGTACAGTACAACAGTTCCCTTTCCGTACCTCGTTGGTCACGAGCGTAAAATTCTGTAAACATTGGGCTTATTTCTCTAACAAATATACCGATATTCCAATTTCCAACGGTGAAATAATGGTTTTGGATCATATGAAAGGTTGTGACATGAATATCTATCAAATACAACTAGCAACATAACTCCGAAGACCAGAATATGTACATGCAACATACAAATGCAGTTAAAGTATGTTTCAGAACTAGAAATATTTATTGATTTATAATACTTACGATGCAAAACGTTCACATTCTGCAAAAGTGTTGTTATTTAATAAATGTTTGTCACAGTGTGAACAATACTAAATATCACTAACTTCACTCATACTTTTCCATTCCATCTTTCTACAGTGTAATATGTAACTGTGAAATCCAGGAAGTACCAACAATAGTTATTCATAGACCTGAAAATAACCATGGAAGAGGCCCAGTAAAGGATTTATATATATATATATATATATATATATATATATATATATATATATATATATATATATATATATATATATATATATATATATATATATATATATATATATATATATGTGTGTGTGTGTGTGTGTGTGTGTGTGTGTGTGTGTGTGTGTGAGGGAGGGTGTGTGTGTGTGTGTGAGAGGGTGTGTGTGTGAGAGTGTGTGCGTTTGGGGGGGGGGGGGGTGAGAGGGTATGTGTGTGTGTGTATGTATGTAACAAAAATTTGTTTGCACACCGTTGCAGTTATGAGACTTTATCTTTCAAAAAATAATGATTCAATGCTTACATTTACATATAAACATATTGACTGCAAATGTGATTTATATTTTTAAAAAATCCCTGTATTATCCTTCGAGTACAATTAATGGAAGTGCCATTGCAACAGCTTCTGTTGAATGTGAGCGTTGATCTTAATTTTTGTTTATGACGCTGCAATTCCACGGCGTTCAGCGTTTGTGACGTCAAAATAAAACGCATACCTTTATCTTTTGACCCCCTGTTCATGTTATGGTGCTTTGAATACTAGTATTTAGTGGGGGACATAAGAAAAACATCAGTATTAAATTAATCTATAAATGAGCTTTATTAATACCATGAACAAAATTGTACATATCTACACAGAATATTATCTTTTCTCATCGTTTAACTAAGCACGTAATAAATTCCCTGTTAATGTGACATGGCTTATCTGTTAATTTTTAATGAGGATACATACACTTTTTTTAATATAACGTTTGGGAGACGATTAAAACATAACTTGTAAGCTGTATGACCATGAACATTAATAAAAGGGAAAAACAATTAATTTTCTTCTAATGCATATTTTTCATATTCTGAATAAAAGACAAAAAAGTGGACATTTTGTGAAAATGGCCCTTATACACGTTCGAGCAATTTCTTAAACGAGGTAGGCTATTGAAAACAAGTTGACGAAACAAGGATATCAAAAGTCTCGTTTAAAGTCATCATTTCGTAAGTTCTATGGTTGATATATTGACTTTGTCAGCTATAATACAATCTATCATTAAGTTGAATGCTGACTGACGTTTTTCATACTAATTATTAGGCTGTTATTTAAACACCGAATTGTGATTTTTTTTTCTGTTTGCCCGATCTTGAGAAGGAGCTCACGGCTCTCGGTGGGTGACAGGTCGACAGGGGATGCTTATTCTTCCATGGCACGTGATCCCACCTCTGATGTATTTTAGAGGTCGATGTTTGCTCTGCTCCCGATTTATATTATGGATATTTAAGCTTGATTACTGTTCGTTATCTCCATATTTCATATCTTTAAAATATCATCATAAGGTAAAAGTTTCTGTGGCGTAATCGGTTGCGCTTTGGACTGACAATTTCGAAGTCGTGAGTTGGATCTCTGGCGTTGGTGATGTCTGATATTCTCTTGAACTATTTCGGCATAGTATACTTACGCTATATAACTCTTTTGAGCACTGTACGACATAGATGGATATTGATTATAAAGAGACAGGAAGCATAGCATCGTCGCAAACCAAGTATTTTGTGTCCATTCTCTTTCCACAAACTCGTGGCTGTCCACTACCATATTCTTTTGTTCGCCTACATCTCACAAATTCAACCAATGGAATATTCAAGTCAGAAACCATTTGTCTAATGAAAAAGATTTTTACTCATCTCTGTTCTTCAGGAACTATCATATTTTTATAATAAATCTGAAACATATAGCAAACATGATTTCTTTATGGGTCTTGCCATGTAAACTATGTTACAGTGATTTCATTGGTCAAGATAAATCTAATAAATATTCAGTGATTCATTCGCGAGAACAAGAGAATTCTGTAGAAGGCAGCCACGGGTTTGTAGAAATAGAATGGATACCAAACGCGTGGTGATGAATAATTTATTGTGTCACAGTCTTAAGTTATTTTAATGGTCAAATTTGGTTTCATATTGACAAGATTCTTTAATAAATAAATAGAAGTGAAATTAGACCGAACAAGACCCGAAACCCGCGTTAAGTGCAGTCATCCGTAAGAATTATATTGAAAAATTTATACGTGTCATATTTGTAGGATAATATCATGTATAAAGTCTAACAGATTTTATATGATGTTTATATAGCGTTTTTCAACGAAAAATTACATGTATAAGAATTTAAATTTTTCACATTCCTAGAAGGCAAGTTCAATATACATATTATAAGTAAGATTAACTACAAAACATATACTTATTCAAATCACTAGAAAGAGATTGCTTACTCCATTACAAAAAAAGTGTTCATATTGGTCAGCTGGTTAGAATATAGTTTATTAGGAGAAAGACATTAAAAGTAGACTAAAAACAAAACTTTATGATAAACGTGATGACTTCAACCTTTCTATCGTCATCTTCCTTTATTTATGTAGCAATATAACATTATCATCTGCATATGGATTTGATGTTTCCCAGTTGATATGATACACAAGAGAATAATTTATGTGCCAACAATTTCTAAAATGAGGCAAGCTATTGACAAATAAGTTGATGATACAAGGATATCAACTGTTTCGTTTCAAGTCAACATTTCGCAAATTCTACTGTCGGTGAAATGACCTTGTTAGCAAATTAATATAATCTATCATTAAATCGAATGCTGACTAAAGTTTTTCATACAAATTGATAGGCCATATTTTTTACACTAAAATGTCTACAGATTTTTTCCGTTTGCCCGATCACAACAAGGAGGACACGATGGGTGTGACTGTTTGACATGGGAAGCTTACTCCTACATGGCACCTGATCCCACCTCTGTTATTTCAATAATTTTAATAAACTTAAAATCTATACTACCTGACGATGCTTTCACTTAACTATGACCAATCATGGCTTGCTGTTCTTGAGAAGAAAATTTTTAAAGATTTTTCTCTTTATATTACTATGTAAAAGTGATCGCCCATTGTGGCCCCATCCTATCCCTGAGGTCATGATTTGAACAAAAAAGAATCAACTCGATTTGAAGATGCCTCCATTTTAAATGATTAATCATTACTTTGCTGTTCTTTAGAAGAAGATTTTTCCTATTTATTTCTATGTTAAACTTTGATCGCCTACTGGGGCTCCACCCTATCCCGGGGGTCATGATTTAAACAAATTTGAATAAACACTGCTTGGGGATGCTTCCATTTTAATATGACTTTTCATAGCGTTGCTGTTCATGAAAAGAATATTTCTAAAGATTTTTTTCTGTATATTCTAATGTAAAACTTTGATCGCCGTTAATTAAGAACCCCCCTCCCCAGCCCATGTTTTGAACAAATTTGAATCTACGCCATGTAATGATGCTTTCACACAAATTTTATCCTTTCTGGCCTCGCGGTTCTTGAGAAGAAATATTTCAAAAGATGACATTAAATTTTCAATAATTCTTAATTATCTCCTGTTGAAAAGGGGCTTGGCCAGTTTGAATCCCCTTCACCCAAGGACGTTTTGTGGAAAGTTTGGTTGAAATTGGCGAGGTAGTTCTTGAAAAAAAAAAACGAAAATGCGAATAATTTAAAAGACGACAGACGGACGCCGACACCCATCGATCAGAAAAAGATCACTTGAGCCTTTGGTTCAGGTGAATAAGAAATAGCATCAGATAAAAGTGATCTTTGCATTAGCTCAGTAAACTTAAATGCAACATTTGGAGCACTTTTTTTCTCAATGTCTTTGTATTCTTAACATAATTGTTACAAAAACAGTATACACAAGATGACCAGAGCTGTTACTCCCGCCAAAAATGCGAGAAAGCTAAAGATGTAGGACCATTTCCTGAGAGAAATACCGTTGTCAATCTTTCGTTCATGAAAACGATTGCTTGCCTATAATAAAAAAAAAAAAACAAATCAGTCAAAAAATGTGTAGATTAATGCAATGTATTTCGTATGAAATTTTTAATAAAAATATAAAAATAAAATAAAAACATGTATAAACATTTTCAACTTCAAACTGAACATCTATAATAAAGGACATTAATTTTTTCAATTGAGTTGTCGTTCCCGCTGCGCTTGGTATACAATATTCTTTGGAAAAATTATAAATGGTGTTAAATTATATTAAAAATAGTTTTAAATCCCATTATTTATCAGTAAGAAGGACTTATTTTTAATCTATCGTCCTCTTAAAGGACTTTTTCCGAAGTTTTTAGTCCCCTACCGGTGAAACCGGAGGAGACTATAGGTTTCCTCTGAGTCTGTCCGTCCGTCTGTCTGTCTGTCTGTCTGTCAGTATGTCCCACTTGGTTTTCCGCACTTTTTTATATATGTGTGTGTGAGGGGGTGTGTGTGTGTGTATGTATGTAACAAAAATTTGTTTGCACACCGTTGCAGTTATGAGACTTTATTACATTTTCAACTGTGAAATACTGTGATTTATTTATTGAATAAAAGTGATATTCTCTCACATTGTGAAAGGATACCAAAATGATATTCTCTCACAGTGTGAAAGGATATCAAAGTAAGTAAAAAAAATCTGGCCTGTCATAAGATAGAGATAGTAACTAAACATCTTGATAGAGCTAAAACTGCAAATTTCTTCCCAAATATGTTGCTTAAATCTATGCTATGTAATGTTTTCAACTCTCACAACTGCTAAGCTATGACATCTCAACCGCTCAACTATGACGTCAAGCCTATGACACTGTGTTAAGAAAAGATTGGGGGCAAAGGGAAAATCAAAGAAAATGTAATAAACAGAAAATTCAATGTTTTGTAGATGAATATGGAATTTATTTCACTCGTGAGACAGGATTTTTTTTATATTTTCACTCGTGCTTGGCACTCGTGAAAATATAAAAAAAATCCTGTCCCACTCGTGAAATAAATTCCATATTCATCTACAAAACATTGAATATCCTCTATTTATCTTTCAA